CCACCACCGAATTGATCTTGTTCTAGAACAAATAATGCCATATATTCCGGTGGATTTATTTCATATGAACAATCAGTATGAAATAAAAATTCGTCATCAGTTTGTGATCGAGCTAATGATTGTTTTTGTATCTTTGAATTAGTTTGAATTGGTTGAACATGCCAAACAAAAGAATCGTTTTGTTCATTATGTGTCAAACATTGTCCACCAAGTTTCTCAATAACATCAATAAAAAATTTCTCCATATTCGTAAGAAAATTATCATCAATTGGTAGATGTTCATTAGAAAATTGTATGCGAACGTAACCATCTTTTTCAAGAGCTCTCTCTATTTCTGGTAATTGACTAGGATCGAAATTATAATTATTACAATCGAAATTCATTATCTATAGAAATAAATTATGTTCTTTTTGTTGTATAGATATAAAAATGTTAGAGGGTAACATTTGTACTTACCTACCGTCTTGAAGAAACTTTAGTGTTATTTTCATATGAATATCTAGTATATTTATATTGACTTAAGTTTACATAACAAAATCTTCTATAAATATCTTGTTTTCTCAATGACGTTATAAATTATAATATAAAAAGACATTCTATGATGAATAAGTACGCAGTCAAATCATAAGTATAACAAATATCAATGTGATTCATACGGTATCAAGAAATAAAGAAATAACTTAGTCCAATGTTGACAACATATATGTTGAAATAGAATTATTTGATCAGGTGAAACCTTTGTATTTCTTTTCTATGATTAGTATGGTATCATTAGATTTGTTAATCTACACAAAAAAAAAGAAATAACGAAAAGTTCAATCATGACTGATCTATTTTACTATTACTAATGAACAATAGTCTATATTTGAAGTAATTATTAATTATACACACACATATATGAAACTATAATAATACTATTGTAAATAATCATTGTTTGTTAGTATATTTTGTAAAATAAGTTGAATTAACAAATAATCTTTTCTATTCTTTTAAGAAAAACTGTGCATTTAAAAAAAATTATATCTTATTCGGAATATGATATTTGTCTAGTGAAAAGATCAATAAATTGATATTTAGTTTAATTAAAAAGGATCTAATATATCTTTTTTTTATCAATTCTGTTGTTCGAAGAAAGAGATAAGAAAGGTTATTATTAATAGTATTGAAAAAAATATTCGTTAATTCGATAATGTTTGATCGTCTAAGAAGTCGTGTTTCACCTCGTAAACTATCACAACCACCATTGGAAGTAAAAAAAAGTTTTTATATTCACTCTATTATATATATAACTGCATATATGAACTGTTTAGACTACCGTTTCCAAGAATAAAAATGAAGATCGAGAAGAATGGGATCGACCTATTGAATTTTTTCTTTCATTAATTGGTTGTTCGATTGGTAAGTTTTATCAAATAAATAATAAAAGAAAACGATTTCATTCAATAATTTTTGTTCTTTAAGGACTCGGTAATGTTTGGAGATATCCATACATTGGTAAGTCATACTTGATAGACATATATACCTATTATATTACTCTTTTTCTAGCATTTAAAAATGGTGGAGGTAAATATTTCTTAAAATATTTTTCATAAAATTTTAATAAAAATAATAATTAGGTGCTTTTATTATACCATATTTTTGTGTTTATTTTCTTATTGGTACACCACTGTTCTTTCTTGAAATGTCACTTGGTCAATTTACTAGTAGTGGGTCAGCAGCTGCTTTTAAAATGTCACGAATGTTCAAAGGACTTGGTTGGGCAACGGCAATCAATTCTTTTTTAGTTTCTATTTATTATAATATTATTATTGCTTGGTGTCTTTTCTATTTTTTTGCTTCATTTCGAAGTAAACTTCAATGGAGTGATTGTGGAAATTGGTGGAATACTGAACGTTGTGCTAATCCAGGTACAGAAACAAAATATTTGAAAAGAAATTTATTTTATTATTCTTCTATAGAAACACTAAACTTGATGAATTCAACTTTATTTTGTAATAATGTTAATCGTCAAACTAATTGTACAATACCGACTCTTCCACCAGAAGAATATTTTGAGTAAGACCAATTTCTATATCTTTTTTTTGTTTGATAAATATTTATTCGTATTTAGTCATTATGTCCTACGACGAAGCAATTCTTTAGATAATTTAGGTACTCCAAATTGGTCATTAGTATTATGTTTATTATTAGCATGGATTCTTGTTGGTATTTGTATTATTCAAGGTATTAAATCATCAGGCAAAGTAAGGTTTTTTATTAGATTATCCTATCAATATAATTGATATATTTAGGTTGTTTATTTTACTGCATTATTTCCTTATGTTGTTATTCTTGCTTTGATTGTCCGTGGTGTAACATTACCGGGTAGGAATTTTATGTATATATATGCATTCATAGAAACAATATGATATAATATATGTAGGTGCTCGAGCTGGTTTAACATTCTATCTAAAACCTAATTGGCAAAAAATTCGTGAACTTGATGTAAGTATATTTTTTTTTTTTTTAATATTTGTTGGTACAATAAAATTGTTTTTAAAGGTTTGGATTGCTGCTGCTTCCCAGGTTTGATTATTTTTTTTGTGAATATTTATAGGTTTAAAATTTATTTTTGGTATAGGTTACATTCTCTCTTTCAGTTGCATTTGGTCCTCTTCTTGGTTATGCTAGTTTTAATAAATTTCATGCAAATTATCTCAGGTCAATAACGTTTTTTTTACAAATACATATTTATATATAGAATTTTATTTAGAGATTGTATTTTTGTTACTGCTTGCGATTGTTTTACATCAGTAAGTATAAGACAGGTTTGTATATATTTATAAATAATGAACTATATAACAATAGGTATTTGCGGGTTTTGCTATTTTTTCAATTCTTGGTTATATGTCATTTAAAACGGGTTTACCTATTGATCAAGTAGCTAAAGCTGGACCTGGTCTTGCCTTTATTGCTTATCCACAAGCATTATCCATAATGCCAGGTGGGCCATTTTGGGCAGTAATATTCTTTTTTATGTTACTTACACTTGGACTTGATTCTCAAGTAATTTGATAATATAGTTTAATTCAATTAATCATATAAATTACATGTAGTTTGCTTTTGCTGATGTTATTATCTCTGGTATACTTGATACATTCAAAAGTTTACGTCGTCATAAAGTCTACGTTACTATTGGTTATTGTGTTGTTTGCTTTTTATTAGCATTACCAATATGTGCACCGGTAATAGAATCTATAAATTTATATTACAAATATTTAATATTATTTTTTAGGGTGGTATCTTTTTATTTGTATGTGTATATGTCATTTATCTTATCAAGCGATAATTTTGTTTATTCATAGACATTAATGAATGAATATGCAGCTAATTTATCAGTATATTTATGTGCATTTTTTGAATTTATACTTATTGGTTATATTTATGGTAATAGATATAGATGAATTATTTAGTCAAATTTCTTTTTCTTTTGTAGGATTTAATAATTTTATGGAAGATATTCGAATGATGTTAAAAAAGAGACCTTTAGAACCATTTTGGTTTTTTACTTGGTGTATATCAGGTCCTATTATTACTTTAGTACATTTATAATAGAGTATTGTTATTTTATATGATTGTAATTTTTAAAAATTTAGGGTGTTTTCTTTATATCAATTATTCGATTTCGAACACCAACTGAAGGTAGTTATGTATATCCAGCATATGCTAATGCACTTGGTTGGCTTATGGTGTGTTCATCAATTATTTTTATTCCTATTATTATGATTTATGAATTTATTAAAGCATGGAAAGCTACAAATAGTTCTCAACATCAAGTATATACTTTGTTCTTTTTGTTTATTGACATTTTGTTTTTTATTGTTTAAAGATTAATGAGAATATGCCACATTATCTACGAATGTTAACTTATGTTAGTCAACCAGATACAGAATGGGGACCATCAAAAAATGAAAATCGTTGGGGTCGTTATAAACCAAAGATTGATCAATTACCATCTACATATCAATCGAATAATAACGATGGTGATGATATTTCAACTTTAGATTCTGAAAATATTCGTCGTACAAAACTATAATCATTTTTCAATTTAAAAGATTATTAATTAACTAGAGAATATATTTTTAGTTTGTAGATTGTATATTTTTTTTGATTGAGTAAATATCATTTTAAACTAATGAAATAATATCTGTAAAAGAGAAACAGATAAATTATAATCAACAGTCAAGGACATCTGTTGCCAGACTACTTTCAGAAAATAAATGATTGCTCAACTACGTCTCAGTACGTAATACATGAACATGGTTTGTTTTGATCAAAAATTTAACACTCAATGTTAAGTACATTTGCGTAAACGTGGTAAATCATGAAAATATTCAAAAAACCTTAAATTAACGTTTTGAGAACAATATACATATGCTCAAAACTAAAGCCAATTATAAATGAGTAAATAGATTATTCATTTCATATTTATCAGAATTCTTACTCAAAAGAATGATTCATTTTAATCCATCAAATATCAATATGAATTATAACATTCTATTTTGTTTTTCAAAATTAGTTTGTAAACATTCGACACATTAGTTGAGTATTAAAATAATTATTTCACCTAAAATCATGAAAAAATTCTCATTATTTTACTTTCATATATTTTTTTATGTTTTCTGTAAACACAAAAAATAATTGTTCTTATAAGCATTTATTTTGTCATACAATGAATTTCTTTCTTGAATTTTGCTGTAAGAAGAAATTATTTTTCTTATAAACTGTTTCTATCATCAAACAAGCATAGAAAAAAGAACGAAAGGAAGAAAAATAAAAAATTTTAGTTAAAGAACGAGCATGATAGCAAACTCGATTGCAGCTATAAAAAAAGAAACGACAACTAGCACATTCTTTTTATTTTAGGATTTAAAATGAAACAAGGCCAATATCTTTCCCAGCAAGTCAAACAATATTTGTGGCCACGTAAGATGTTATTTCGTATATTGTTAACCTTATAATTAAGAAATAAATAAATTACGTAGACAGATCATATAGATAAGGTTTAACTGGATAGTTTTTGTAAGACTACCGATTGAAGAATAGCAAATGAATTGTTTTATTTTTGTATATTATATTTTTAACTTACTAATGCCATTAAGATATACTGTTTTTGACTGAAATTTGATATATAATTATTTCTATATTGAATCGTTTTAGAAAATAATGTTCAAACTGATCATCCATCATGCCAGTTTAAAGCAGGTAAGAAATCTTATATTTCGATTTTAGCAAAACAGATGACAATCTATTCTTAGATAAACAATGGCTCGATCTTCAATATCATACAGATGATAAAATCAAGAAGCCTGATGAACTTGAACATCAAATGGAATCTCCACCTGAATTAGCTGATAAAAAACAACTCGATCGTATTAAAGGATCCTTGATTGGAATGGCTTTAGGTGATGCAGTTGGTGCACATGTTGAATTTCGTCCTTACGAATATTTATGTCAAAATCCAGTTAAAGATCTCGTAGGAGGAGGTACATGGGGTTTAGAAAAAGGCCAGGTATGATATCATCACCATATTTCATAGAAGATGACAAACATGTTTGTTATACTCACCTTTTAAGAGGAAGAACAGTCTGTCTCAAGTTTTAAAGTATTCGTTTTTAATAATCATAATATCTATTGTGTTTTTTCTTTCGTTCTATGTAAAGAACGCAAAAAAAAGTCATGCCTTTTTTTACTAATCTTTCATGTCAACAGTCGTAAACAGAACGAAAACATGTTCTCATTTTTATAATCTATTTATATGTATTGACAAACTCAAAGTCATACACGGTAGGAGAAGTAAATCAGGCAAATAATATATTCCCTTTAGAACGATATAATTAAAAATGGCTGTTGAAATATGGAAAATAAATTTTAAAAGTTCTTTTTTTTTGTTTTATTAATTATTATAAAAGATGTAAATATTCTAGTTCACCGATGACACTTCGATGGCTCTTTGCTTGGCTATGTCATTATTGGCTCGTCATGATTTTGTACCATATGACCAATTAGTTCGTTACAAATGGTGGTATCAATATGGATATATGTCATCGACTGGAAAATGTTTCGATATTGGTGCGGCCACAAGAGAATCATTAGAAAAATTTAGTCGACGTCAAGAATCATTTGCAAAAAATCATAATATTTCTGTCAAAACATTAGACTTTCTCTCGGATACTGAGCTTCTTGAAACATTTCCCGTAAACTGTAGTTCACAGGGTGTCGCAGGTAATGGAGCTCTCATGCGTCTAGCACCAGTTCCACTCTTTTTCCATGAAAATCCAGAGACAGCTGTAGAATTTTCAGGTATTAGTGGACGGATTACTCATGGTGATACGAAAGCTTATGATGCATGTCGTTACTATGGAGCTCTGATTTGTGCTGCTCTTAAGGATTATGAGAAAAGTGACCTTCTCGACAAAGATTTTTACACAAAACATAAGCATTGGTTCGGCAACATTCCACTTTGTGATGAAATTAAAAAAATTGCCGAAGGATCTTATCAGAAAGGAGGTGGCTATCAGGATGGTATACGAGGAAAAGGTTATATAGTTAATGCTCTTGAAGCTGCTTTGTGGGCATTTTGGTCGGATGAGAACTCATTTGAGAAAGGTGTACTTGCTGCTGTAAATTTAGGAGATGATACCGATACAACTGCTGCTATTTATGGTCAATTAGCTGGTGCATATTATGGATATAAAAAACTACCTAAGGAATGGGTAAAACATGTGTACGCAAAGCAGTTTATCTTAAATGTGAGTGAATGGATAGCATATGAAGGAAAGAAATGGAACGAAACAGAAGGATCAACTTCAAGTCATCAATCTCAACCGGAACCAACTTATGTAACAACACCAAATGAACAGAAATCATTCTTTCAGAGAATGTTTGCTTTTTTTAACTATGCAAGCCCTACAAAACATTCAGCTCCACCATCACCATGTTCTCCTCAACAAAAAAAGAAACACCGATCACAGTCAACAGACGAGTGAATGTCGACAATTTATTCAATATTCTGAACGACATCAATCCTATACAATCGTGATAATCAATTAAAACTCTATTTAGATACTGTGCATCATAGTTATCGGTCTGTTTTCACTCAGATTTTATTTCACTTTTTGGTTTGTGTAGATGATAGTGAGACGAAAACATTTAGTTGTATAGATATAACAAATATCTTGCATTACTTTAACTTGTCAATTAGATTTTTTTAGTGCACATTTCAATTTTTTTATTAAAAAAATAAATATCTACCAATTAGAAGACTTTTGATAAACGTGGATTAATGTAAGAAAAGAAGTATTATGTTTTCGGATGTGAGTCACTCTTTTAATTCTTTTTAGATATTAAATAAATTCATACCATGACATCGATAAATCAATCGCAGACTATCAATACAGATGTGCAATCACTTATTAATAGAGCAGCTGAATTAGTACTTAATTGTGATGCTATTTTATTTACTAGTGGTGCTGGAATGGGTGTAAGTAGTGGACTTGGCACATTTCGAGGTATTGCAGCTGGTGTTTGGCCACCTTTACTGAAACATCCTGAATTCGATTTTACTGATATGAGCAATCCACAATGGTTTGAACTACCACAAGGTAATAGTGAAAAACATAATACAGCTAATTTTGGTTATGCATTTTGGGCGTATCGATACAATGCTTATACGTCATCTCTTCCACATGTTGGTTATGAAATTGCTAAACGATGGAGTAATTTCAATAATATTAAATATGCATTTAGTTTTACTAGTAATATCGATGGTCATTGGATAAAATCAGATTGGAATGAATCAGAAGTTCTTGAATGTCATGGATCAGTAAATTATATGCAATGTATTGATAAATGTTGTCAACGTATATGGAATACTGACAATGCATTGAATCTTGAAGTTGATCCAAAAACAGATTGTGCTATTGGCAATTTACCACAATGTCATGATTGTAAGAAATTAGCAAGACCAAATGTACTCATGTTTGGTGATTGGAAATTTTTAGATATAAGATTAAATGAACAAACATCTCATTATGACACATTTAAATCAAATATTACTAAGATAAAAGCTAAATTATTAATTATAGAATTGGGTGCTGGTACAGCCGTTCCTACTGTAAGATGCGAAAGTGAAAGGGCATTTACTGATCAAAAGTGGACAGCTGATTTTATTCGTATCAATCCACTAGCAGAACACTCGATGGTTGATGATTATTACAAAAAGAAAAGTAATGGAAAAACCATCGAAATAGCTCTTGATGCCTTAACAGCTTTACAATTAATCGATGAAGCAATCATGAAGATATCGAAACATTAATTTACAATACTTTAATCGCAACTAATTTTTATTCGAGATATATCATTGATGAATCATCATCAGTTTGTCAATGATAATTATGTATTCTTTTTTTCTCTATTTTATTCTAAATAAAATATATTACAACAAATATTTACTCTTTTGAATAGAATCAATCAAATTATCATAAATAAGTATTTAAAATAGCTATAGCTCTATAAAGATTTTCCAAATATATAGTAAAAAAAACAAATAAGTTCTCTAATGAAATAATATTTCTAAAACTTTTGATACAAAATTTAATCGATTCAAAAGTGAATAGTAATCATTTTGCAAATTTCAGGAAAAAGCAATATTTTCAATAAATTGTTCATTAACTTGTCAATTGTATAAAATGAATAAATTCGAATCATTAAATTTAATTAAATTTCATACTTTTACGTTTAGTAAGTACAGTTTTGTTCAAAATCTGGTCATAAATTAACTTTTATATTGGTATTTCAGAATGTGAGTATCAAAATAAATATTCGCTGAGATTATCTTGAGAATGTGGGTGTGATGGTAATATATTGACCTCATCCACACCCTCAAAAATTCTGTGTCTTAGAAAAGCTCTTTTGTTCGAATGCGCACAGTGAGCGTTTTTCTGCATTGGTGTCAATGATGAATAACAGCGTACATCTACAATCAACAACTGTTATGGTAGAAAATACTTGTTTATTATATGCAAAAAAAAACAATATGATAATAAATTATTTAGTAGAATGGATACCCATAAGGACTTCCATATCCGAATCCTCCATATCCCATGCCGCCCATTGGTATGAATTCGTTTTCATGTACGACAGTCGCTGCTCCATTATAAAGATTTCGGTTCACCTCCATCCCTTGTTCATAGACTCCGTATCTGTAACAAAAAAGACATAGATTCATCGAAAAGAACAGCTACAATATACCCTTGTGGACCAAAACCCATACGTTCCTGCTCGTATCCTTGTTGTATGTAACCACCACCGTATCCATAGCCAAACATATTTGACAGTCAAGAATGAATAATAAGAAATGAAAAGTGTAGTAAAGGGAAGAGTGTTTTATAGGAGAACGACGGGCGTTTTAGAAAGAGGCGTAATATTCATCAATTATGCATGACGACGAAAAGTTAGTCACCCTATCTTATTACCATGTATATCGTCATTTTGTGTTCTTAGGAGAGAGATAGGTGAAAAAGTGGGTGTTAACATCATTACTAATGCATTATCATTCTCCTTCGTTTTCTTTCATTACGTGTATTTGCAAAACACGTGTATCGATTACACATAGTATTTGTTTGTAAAACGCAGATCACATCATAATAAGTTTCTGTAAAGAACTCCTTATCGATATAAACTATTGTGATGAACAAGCGACGAAAAATAAGTAATCAGAAATAAATCTCAGTGTTTTTTTATAATTTTTATTTGATTTTCAATGAATCAAAAAAACCAATTAATGGACAATAAATATAATAAGCGGCTTGTTTCAAATTTTCTGCCGATCATTTTCCTATGTACTTACTCTGTACGTCATTATATACCACTAGATTTTGTTCTCTACTCCTGCTCTCTCTGTTTTCTTACATTCTCATTTCATAAAACTATCCAGCAATTAGTTTTACAAAAAATTACAATGAAAAAAAGCGAACAGATGCAAACAATTCTAAAACCACTGAAAAAGTTAGCATATTGTTATCGCTAATTGTTACCGTTGAACGTATACTGAAAAGATAAAATAAGAAAAAGAAGTACTTACTTTTTGCTATTATTTTAATTCTCTTAGTATTTTCTTCATTATTGTTTTCGATAGTTTATTTGTCTCTATTGCAATATTCTTTAAATTATCTATTTAACGATGTGCTAAAATTACGAGTATGAGTCTGGATATTATTCACACCCACCCACAAGATATAAATTATATAATTCAATTTCATACTTTTACTATTGGTAAGTACATTTTTGTGTAAAATCTTATCATAAACTAATTTCTATGTTGTTATTTCAGAATGCGGGTATCAAAATAAATATTTGTTGAGATGATACAAAATCAAATATTTAGATAAAAAAATGGAGATCAAATCAAGATGCTTCTATTATATACTACTATGAACCATCAATAACAAGCTTCCTTACTCTTGAGTATTTCAGCTGATATATTCAACTTTAACTGTTATAACTCATTTTGTAAGTGTGATGACATTTAGTTTTAGATTAGTCAACTAATAGAATTTGTTGAGTTTAGGTATCTAATAATATCATTCAATCTCATATGAATATTCACGAATTTTCTATTATTCAAACTGAGATAATTTTAGAATCATCAATATTAAATTTTACTATTTTATCTACATTTACTCTTAGATGTATGATTTATTGACAATAAATGCAATAATGAATATTCTTGATTCAATTGTTATTATGTATAATGGCAGCATTCATAATCATCTTGAGGGTGTGGGCGTCAGAGTACGGTTAATGAAACACCTAATCCACACCTACAATCCCCCACATCCACACCCTTCAGAACGAAAAGCGAAGAGATGTCTACTTTACATAGTTCGGCAACGTACAAAATCAAAATGATCATTATAACACTAAATAGGAAGAAAAGTAATTTTAGAAATGAACTAAACATGATATCTGAACCGAAACTTTTTGTGAAAAGAAATGCTAGTATATATTATCCAACAGTCAATTCGAAAAGATATTCATGCGAAAAGATATTTCATAATGAAATCACTGCCATCTTTGACTATTTCGTTAGAACCAAATACAGTACAGGATAATGGTTTATATTGATTTCCATGTTAAAATAAAGTCATGTGAGTATTCAAAGGTGTAATTTTCATTCTTACTCTGCATGTAGGGTGCGAATGGGTATGGATTCGGGTATGGGCTAGGAGAAGCTAGACACCCACACCCATCAGATAATCTGATAGTACAAATTCGGCGTATGAGAAAACAACGTCGCTATGGTCTTCTATCGATTATCGGTTTCAGATATTGCATAATACGCTTGAATCTATTTCCTTTTCACCTCTTAATATTTGACATTCGGAAATTTTTATAAATATCTTATTTCTTGAAGGTGTGAGCAGAATTATTATTTCCATCATACACCCTCAAAATAGTTTCAGTATCATTCCCGGAAAAAATCGTTTGTTCTCGTTCTCACATTCTCTTTCCTGGAAAAATATTTGTCTGTCTTCTCTGTTATATTCTGATTTCCAAAAGAATATTTTTGCCTGCATTACCTCGTTCTCTTCCATGAGCAAAAGTTATTTTCCTTTGTTCTCACATCCTCTTTCTCGGAAAAAAACCTGTCTGTCTTCTCCGTTATATTCTGGTTTCCAGAATAATGTTTTTGCTTGCATTACTTCATTCTCCTTCACGAACAAAAGTTGTTGTTCTTTGTTCTTACATTCCTTTTCCCGGAAAAAAGCTATTCCCGCTCCTATAAAAAGAAAAGTAAATCATTTCATAGCTCGATAATAGATAGTAGGCCTAGTGTTGCTTTTTGTCTTTCAACACGCACAGATAAAGATCGAAGATTGCTTCGAGTATTTATCTATTCAACGGGCTTTCCAGCTACTTGGCAGAATAAAGGTGAGAGAAATAATCTCATTCTCGCATACATCAACTATAGTACAAAGGAAATATTCTAGTTGAGCACAGTTGGTATCTTGAAGGGTTCATGATCAGGAAGAGTGTGAAAATAATTTTGTAGATGTAGGTAAGAAATAAGAAAAGATATCGTCACACCCATTCTAGAGTAGCTACAGGAGACTTTCAAACCTTTTAAGCATTATCAGCATACAATCCATAAAGAGTTGCGATGACCACCGCTAAGTATCAGGCCCCATCTTGCGGATGTAGGTGTAGATAAAGAGTAACAATTCTCACTCACCCATACCCCTAACCCACACCCAAATTTGGTAATCCTTACACATACGAGGTCAAGAATATATAGCAAGAGAATTTTTTGCTTGTTATCTTCTAGTGGCCGGCCGTAAAAGACTAATTAGCTATGGTCTAGGATTTAGCTCACTGAAGACTCCTATAAATAAGTTCGAATAGTGGAAGAATTATAGTGAGGTGGATTGAAATATATGAATGGGTTTTCTCTCACCTGATCCAGTAGATTTTTTATGATGCATTCTCTTTCTCCTCTTTTTTATTGGTTCTTTCTATCCAATGCCGCTTTGCTTGTGAAAGGAGTCTGTTCGTTATCATCTAATTAGACCATCTACTTATCTCTCATTCGTATTGATCGATTCTATGCGTCGGAAAAGTTACTTTCATGCGTACTCATATTCATATGATTCGTGTAAGCAAACCCAAAAGAAAAACAACTTTTCAGTAGTGAATAATATTAAATGGACATGAAACGTAGAAATAAGTAACCATTTTTTAGTAGATTATGACACGTAAAGGCGATTTCCATCTATGAAAAATACTTCTTTCAAGATTCCTGGTCTCGAAATCTATCTCAGTTCGGGTATGTTTAGATAGACTAAAATTTATAAGATGCATGAGAACAGTGGTATGCAACGGCGGCGCGTCCGGGGGGGATGGGGAAGGGTACCCCCCTCTGCTACTGAAAAATTTGAGCAAAATTTTCTCCGACTTTGGGACTTCCTTTCTCCGATTTTTGAGCTGACTTTGTCGTTTGGTATTCATTTACTTTCTCCTTTTTTTGCTATTTTGGATTTGAAAACTGGGGTTAGATATACAGAATCCTGCAAAAACCTAAACTGAAGACCTTTTTTTTTAATTTTTCCTCATCAGTTTTGGTTTTTGGGTAGTTAAGGCGGAAAATTTTTGAAAATTTTTCTAAAACCCATGAAAACTGAAACTGAGAAAATTTTTTTTTCTTTCTCGCGTTTTGTGATTACCCCTCCCCCCCTCCTGCTTTAAGCTCTTCGCGCCGCCACTGGTGGTATGAAGGCTGTGGTGAAATTTTCAGTTCGGATACTGACGCCTGATAAAAATATCAGCCAAACATCGACCAAAAACCAGCTTATTTTCTGTCCAAGACTTCTTAATTCAGACTCGTGGTATATGTTTAACTTTTTTGTTGAAAAGAGCCTGTCAAAAGGGGGCAGTATACTAGTCTCCTACATTTTTAGCAAAGAATGCGAATGAGAAGTTCAGTTACTCAAAAAACGCACCTAAAATGTGTATGAAGTTATATAAATGCCTGTTTCTATAATAAAAATGACGTTCAATTTTGAAACAGGACTTTGTGGTGCAGGTCTGCTCATAAAGGCTGAATATTAAGGGAACTGATTTTAAAAAACTTTCAGAAATCACCAAAGCCGGTTAGAAATTTTGTCAAAAATCTTTCGAAAATTTAGAACTAAAAGAACTCTCTAAAAGTGTGAAGAAATCTTTAAACGCTAAAAGTTTTTACCCATCTTTAAAAGAGATTGCGAAAATTTCTCAAACGGTCGAGTAGAAAACAAAATATCTGATTTTTGTGGGAAGCAATCTCCAACACTTCCGCCCGCTTTGGGCAACCATATTATGGTGCTCTATATCTTCACATGATCTTTCGAATAAAAAGCGAATATTTTGCACGAGCCTCGATCCAAAAATCTGTAAAAGAGGAGAAGCTAAAAACACTTTTAGATTTTCTAAAAATCTGCTAGTTTTTAATAAGAAGCTTAAAGAAAAACTGAAATACTTTTGGAAAATAGAACCATGAAGAAAAAAATCTGATCGTTTTATGGAAGTGTAAATGACGGACTGTGTCTCCATAGCGTTATCTCATTTTTGGTTATTTTGACGGAAACTGACTTTTCTTCTAAGTGACAAGTCTCTAATGGATCAAGTCTTCGAAAACTTCATCTTTGATAATCAAATCATTTTTTTCTTTTTGAAATGATGCAGGAATCTATAAAGTTATCCGAAGTGCATTATGACTTGCAGTCAACAACAGAGGAACCATTAATCTTTCTGATTAGTTGCCGATTATAGTCAAAGAAAAGGACGATCGTCA